TAATGTCTATTAACATATCAAAACCTCTGAGAAATCCTGTAGTAGAGAAACTTGCTTTATTTTTTTAGTCCAGCTATTCTTCAAATTTATTTGAGTAAATCCCCTCCCCCACATACACATACCTTTTTTTTTTTTTTTTTTTACACTTCTTAGCATACTGCAGAATAAACTGAACATGCATTAGGAAAGACGGCTTTAGGCAACAGTTAACAACTTTTCTTCTGGGAAGTACATATAAAATCTGTATCTCCAGGGTTGGTTATCAATAAAATTGGATTTTAGAAGTATCACCTCTCTTTTGCTGTCCTCCTAGGTATCCCAGCTACTAAGAGGGGGAAGCACTAAGGGGGAATTTTAGGAATTAGCCAGTATGAGGGAGAAAATCTGGGGACAGGATGAGCAGTCTCAGAATCCCCAAAATTATAACATGAGGGTATTTGCCCCTTCAATCAACTACTCAGTACCAAACAACTAATTCAACAGAAAGTTGACTGTTTTCTAAAAATAGATTTTGCACATTTTCCATTAAGAACCAGTGCTATTTAAAACTTAAAATAGCTATTATTTGAGAATATCACTATCATGAATTCTTTTTTCCATACAAATATTCTGTAATATTTGCTCATAAAAATTACATAGGTAGATTGTTTGATAATCTGAGAGAACAGATATTTGAAGAAACCATTGTAAGGGTTAATTAAATTATCATAATTTGAAACATTCTAATACCCATTTCTCAATATCAAGTTAGACCTCTAAACAAGTCATCATCCCAGCATTCTCCCACCCTTTCACTGAACTAATGTTTTTCCTTTTTTTATTTCAAAGTATTATGGGGATACAAACCATTTTGGTTACATGGATTGCTTTTATAATGCTTGAGTCATGGTTATAAGTGTGTCTGTCACCCAGATAGTGGTCATTGTACCCATTAGGTAGGTTTTCACCCATCCTGTCCTCCCCACTGCCCCCCGCTTGATTTCTGTTGAGTTTTACTTCATCCACGTACATGTGTGCTCATCAATTAGTTCCAATTTAATAGTGAGTACCTGCAGTGTTGGAGGATGACTTAATGCTTTTTGCAACAATCTGGAAGGAACTGGAGCCCATTATCCTAAGTCTCTAAAGAATGGAAAAACAAACACTGAAGTAAATTTAACATTGTGGGCATCAATCATCCAGTCAAGAGGAAGAAACCACACCAGTAATGTGAACAATGAATACTAAATGTAAATAATTATAAATAAAAGGGGATGCTCTACTGAAGGGAGTAAGGAGAAAGCTACAGAACAAGGAATGCAAGCATAGGAAAAATGCTATCTCTAGGCTGAGGAAAGGCACCCAAGAAGGGGCAAAGTTGGGGGATGCCCTCCCTGCCCGGGCTCTCTCAGCCCTTGTTAGAGAGGGTATGGCTGTAGCCCAGAGGATGGCCAAGAAGTCTGCCGAGGTGCTGCAGGTTGGAAACTGCCTGAAGGGGTCCCAGTGAGACTCACAGGAGGGCAGGCACCCTGGGTCTCCAGCACGCCTCTGCCAAGGAAGCCACTCTCAGGGTGCCAGGAAAACTCAACAGGAAGCCACCTGTTGTGGTGTCAGCAAACTTCAAAGGAGGGTGGGAAACTCTATATCTCCACATGTTACCAAAAACTTGGTACTTGTCCACAAGGCCGAATTAGAAGAACAAGGACAAGTGTTTTGGGGAGGAGGAAAGATATTACTTTGCCGGCAAAGGAGGAAAAATGGCAGACCTTCTCAGCTCAAAATCCAAATTTCCTGAACATTCACAGAAATACAGAGATTTTAAAGGGTGGGTTCTCAGCTTCAGGCAATTACTGTTCAACTACAGTTGATGATTCTGATCATCTCATCTCCACTGCAGACAATCACATGACCTCCACCCAGGACCTCCCTTTACCAAGTCAGGGCTGGGCCACGGTTCTGTTGCACAAATAAATAAAAGACTTAGCCTGCCCCTCCCAACCACTGGCCTGAGGCAGGGATGCAGGCTTTAGTTTTCAAAAAGGAGTGGAGGATGTTTCAAAGAGACATAAAATATTTTTGCCATTTTTTCCAGGCCATTCTCTCTGTTACATATTCCCTACTCTCAATATTTTGCTTCCATATCTATGGGAGGAGGAGTGATTACTCTGTTATACACATAGCACTGGCAGGTCAGCCCAAGGAGCAAACACAAAATAAAAACAAATTCTGGAACTGGACAGAAAAGACCCTGTCTCTTATTGTGACCCTCCCATGACTTCTATGCCAGCTGGCAAAAGAGAAATGTGTGCAGTGTTAGCTCTAGAATCACAAAGCAGGACAAAGACAAGTGCGATTAGGGTCTGGAAGGAAATAAATTGACAACTGGAGCCCTTTGCTTTTTTATTGAGGGTCAGTGTAACGTGAGGAATATTGCTGCACCTTCTGTAGAATTATTGCTAAAGTTTTCACCTAGTGTGTTTTCAACCTCCCTGATATAAGAATTTGGTAACGAGAAAGAATGAGATGATGAGCATTCATCATTGGACCTGATCATTTGCTGCTTCAGTGCCCATCTCCTCGCAAGGCTTTCTCTGACTACTCTATTTAGAATGTGAGTCCCTGGCCCGTCTTATTCTCTTTCCCTGCTTTGCTTGTCTCCATAGCACTTCTCTCCTACTAATCTACAATTTACTTACTCATTTTGTCTTCTGTCTGTAGAATGTGAGCTCCGTGAAGGTCAAGATTTTATCCTCAGCACCTAGAACAGGGGTGGGCACTCTATAAACATTGTAGAATAAATGAATTGAGCAAATGAGTGATCTCCACATAGAGAGGAATGAAAGTATAAAGTGATGGTTTCTTAGGCTAAAATTAGTGTTGAATGATAGCGATAAAGAGGAACCCAGACCTTCAAAGGTAAGATCTGTGAGCCGCATGCCAAAGCCATAGCATGTGGTGTGGTTTCACCAACACGGATGGCCCTATTGGGGTTTAGATTTGGGAATGGTACATAGAACTTTCCTTCTGCCTCAACTTCAGACTTTTAAACTAATCCTTCCTACCAATTTAGAAGAAGTTTTAAGAATCTGTGGCTGGAACGTGGGTAGGCAGCATGCTGGGAATGGAGCCAAAATAAAAGAATACTGAAAATGAAGGCCTTGCTAGTATTGTGAAGTTAGGGAGATCCCAAATTTACACAACAGTGTTTTTCTTTGGGAAACTTCACATTTCACGTGATTCTGTGGCATAGAGTATGTGAGGTGCCTGCCTGCTGGGTTTTTCCTCCATTGAACCATATAATGAGCAGTGTGTCTAAATTCATGGGGTTTTTCATGTTTCGGAGTTTGACCTGACTTTCCTTCTCTTGTCTGGAACTAACCAGTGCACATTGGGAATAAAGCATCATGAGCCACCGCCACCTACTCACTCAAGGTGCTGGATATCCTGTTGTGGCTCCAAGTCGCCCAGCTGCAGGAGGGAAAGACCCTAGGAAGAAGGACCACTGCTGACCCCAGGCTGCAGCCACCACCAGTGGGTGGGTAGAGCTTCCCAGGGCATGGTGGCCCTCACTCACTCCCGGGAACCTCACCGCAGGGAAGGGGAAGACAGTCACAGCCAGATTCCCACGCACACACCCCCCTCCGAGGTTAAGCATCATTATGTTTAGTTTTTTGCCTTGGCTGCTGAAGGCTTGGGGTTAAATTTAGTGCTCAATCTCATATCTGCCTGGGCTCTTTTTGTGTTTGTTTTTCTTGTGATGGTTTCTTCATTTTCTATTTTGACAGGCACACATTTTGCATTGAATGCTATCTCAGACACATCTTTGGCATGAAAAAGCATGTCATTTAACCAGATATAAGTGCTAAGCAAAGGGGTGGGACTGGTCCCAAATTAAGTCAATTACAGCTACAGAGAGTCCTTGACCTGAGAGGAGCTCATGCAGATATTTTCAGTCTTTTCAAGTTGCTCTTCTCAGTTCATCCTTCTTCCAAGCTACACCCTGCCCCTCCCGCCTCCCCGCCTCCCACCATTCACAATCTGGGATGCTCTGTTTCCTTTCTTTCTGGCCTTCAATCCACCCCAACCCCAGCCTCAGTATGGGGTTAAACTTGTCCTCGGATTCTCTCCCGCCTGACTTGAAGTCTTGACATCGCCTCAAAAACCTCACCAGGGGATTTCCCTCCATGGTTCTCCTTTGCAGAGCAGGGTCAGCTCCCCGAAGAGACCCGGCACTAATCGCTCACCACTGCTTACAAAACTCCCTGCTTTCCTCAGTGTCAATGTCAGGGCTGCCCTACACTCACTGTCACTGAGGCCCCATTTCTGCCCCCCACCTCCCGGCCCCTTCCCAACAGACTCTTTTCCAAAATTCTCTCTTGAGACCTCATCCCTCAGCCAAAGCACACAGTGCCACTCAAAAATGAAAATAAAAACCCAAGCACACACCACTCACTGGTTCTCACTGCAGGTTCCTGACCCGTGTAGTAAATCAGGGAGTGGGCTTCTACAAGTGCTGGTGACAAGCTGCACGGGAGGGTCAGGACTCTCAGGTCTGGACTCTGGGTTGCAATGAACATTCCTCTCCTCTGGTGGTAGCTGGTAGGTGTCACCTACTCAGAGAGTCACATGTCAGCAGCCGGAGGGGTCTCGGTGTGTCCCAGCCCCTGACATCACTCCCTCCGTATCACTCAGAGCAGCATAACTTGGTTTCCTTATCTGGGGCAGCCAGGCCACGGCTGTCTGAAGGCCACAGGGAAATCAAAGGCGGGGTGCAGGCGCCGGGGGTGGGGGAGGAGAAAACAACTTCCCGGTTTCTCTCAGGCACTTGAGAGATCCTCCGGAGGTCTGAGGGAGCTTTTGAGCTTCTTTATTTCCGTTGGTCCCTGAGATCTGAGACTGGTGGGGCAGAGCCACCAGAGGAATAAACAGTGGTTTCTCGTGCTCCTCAGGGTCAGGAACAGTCTATTCAAAAGGAAGCCCTCCACCACCCGGGGCCGTTCCCACAGCTCTACGGATGCCGGGTCGGGAGGCTGTGTCCTCGTCCCCAGGAACTCGGTCCGGTGGTAAGTATTATGTATTTAGCCAGTTATGGCCATGTTGATGCTTAGTGTGGTTTCACTTTTGCAAACATTTGTTTATGTCCTTCGAGAGAAAGACATTTCAGCCTGTCACAGGAAGCTGCTTCAGGGGGTAAGCAGACTTTTTAAACACATAAAAATTAGGATCTACACCAATTTCTTGAAATTAAGCCACAATACTTGGTTCTCTTTCATTGTGTATTTTCTTACATGCTGTTTTCAAGTCCACAAGTCTTGTTTCTCCCAAAAGAATGTATGTTCTGTGAAGATAGAGTCATGCCTGCTTTATTTCCCGTGGCGGCTAGAACACTGCGGAGCACCTGCGTGCTCTGACGACTGATCCGGGGCAGTGGCTGCTCCGGGGAAGTGGGCACATGTGGAAGAAAAGTTTATCTTCTGAGATGGAGACCTACTCTGGCTGAAATTCAGTGCCAGAAAAGAGAACGTGGGGCTGTAGGGGCACTAGTGCTGCTTGCTGTTTCCTCCGGGGTAACGCAGCTGTAGGAAGGGAAAGATAATCTCCCATTTCTCCACAGGGCAGCCTGAGGATGGCTAATTACACATCGGCACCAGAGGATGACTATGATGTCCTCATAGAGGGTGATCTAAAGGACAACGAGGCAGAACAATGTGACAAATATGACGCCCAGGTCCTCTCAGCCCAGCTAGAGCCGCAGCTCTTTTCCCTGGTGTTCCTGGCCGGTCTCCTGGGCAATATCGTGGTTGTGCTTATCCTGGTAAAATATAAAGGACTCAAACACACGGAAAATATCTATTTTTTAAACTTGGCAGTTTCAAACTTGTGTTTCTTGCTTACCCTGCCATTCTGGGCTTACACTGCTTCCCACGGGGGCAGTTTCAGTGATCTCATGTGTAAAATTCTCATTGGACTCTGCTCCGTAGGCCTATATGGTGGGGCACTTTTCAACATCCTCCTTACTGGGCAAAGATACCTGGTGTTTTCGCACATGCGATGCTTTTCCCGGGCCACCAGGATGGTGTCCTGCCGCATCATTACAAGTTTCCTGGCGTGGGTAACAGTCATCACTCTGGTCATTTTGCTTGAATGCATGTTTTATAAACCTCAGATGGAAGCCCAGGTCTACAAGTGCACTTTTAGCAGACCTCCCTTCCTGCCAATGGACGAGACATTCCGGAAGAATTTTCTGGCTTTAATGATGAACATTTCAGTTGTTGTTTTGCCGTTGTTCTTTTTGATATTTTGCTATGTGCCAATGAGAAAAACACTAAGGTTCCGGGAGAGGAGATATGACCTTTTCAAGCTTGTTTTTGCCATAGTGGTTGTCTTCCTTCTGATTTGGGCACCCTACAATGTTGCACTTTTCCTGTCTGCTTTCAAAGAATACTTCTCCCTGGATGACTGCAAGAGCAACTATAATCTGGACAGAAGCGTTCAGATAACAAAAATCATCGCCACCACTCACTGCTGTGTCAACCCTCTCCTCCACGTGTTTCTCGACAAGGCATTTAGGAAATACCTCTGGTGCCTTTTCCACCTGCGTAATAACACCCCAACTCAATCCAGTGAGGAATCTGTACAAGGTGCATCAAGGGACGAACATAGCCATTCCACCCTAGTGTGAACTAGCATTCATCAATGGCAAGACAAATAAACATGGGTTTTTGTGTCTTTGTGTTGTTTTGTGTTTTTTACATATTTGTATATCCAATAGGATAGAGGAAGAAACAGGTGAATAAACATTTACTGAGAACCGAATTTGTCTCAGGCAATGTGCTAGGCTCTTTACAAACGTGAGCGCCTTCACCTCTCCCTGCCTGTCCACAGTGTGGATGGGACTGGTCTCATTTCTCTGAGAAGGACACCGAGGCTCAGAAATTTGGCCAAGCTCATACAACTAGAAAATGACAGGACTGAGACACAAATCCAGGTACCATTTGCTCCAGCATGCCAAAATTCCAAAAATTGGGCAACAAAATACATGAATGAATGTATTTTAAAACATTTATTATATGTATCTTAAAACAATTAACAAATTGCTTTTAAAGTCAATTTGACTACATTCCAAATTGGAAACAACCTATTTATATGGAAGTAGCTTTTCAGGCACATTTTCTTGCAGATAATTAAAAGAACTGGCTAGCTGGAGGCTATGGGGAAAAAGAGGTACGTTCGGTAGAAGTTCTCTTGATTACTTGCCACACCACAAGTCCCTGAACCCCACACCTGCACCCCAACCTGTGAGCTTCCCAAAGTTTCTAGATTTCCTCCTACTTTATCTTCAAGGCTGTGGAACCTTAGGACATTTAACACAGTAAGTGCACAAAATTATGTTTAGAAATGTCTAATAAAATGAATGCTATGTCCTTTTAAATATAACACATGCCTCACCAACCTGTTACTACCAAATGATGTCTCCCTTCCTGCGGCTGAGTTACTAGAGCATAGGCTCTCGCCTGCCACATCAATGGAAGGCCAACTTGTCACATAGGGTTATGTCCCTGGTGCCCCCCAGATCTGTAAGGGTGGCTCATCCTTGATTCCAAAACCGTCTTCCCGTCTCTGGTGTTCAGAGCCAGACTCCACACTCTCTGGTCTCTTGATAATCTTGCCCTGGTTTTGGAGGCCTCAAAGCTGCCACTGCCTTGCTGATATGGGACAGCCATTGTTCGTGGCTGAGTCCTGCAGACACAGGGCCTTGGCCGGCTGCCTCCTCCTGATGGCCCAGCATCGTGCTTGCCATGGACAGAACTGGAGGCTTAGCACTGATCCTTGCTGAAGGCCTAACCAGCTCGCCCACTCCTGCTGTGCTCCAGAGCACACTCTACTCCCCTCCCGGCATCAGGCATCTGCTCATGCCACTGAACCTTTGAGGAAAACGGTGGGTCCCTGTCCCTCCTTCATAGGAGGCTCTTTTCTCCCTAGCTGGATTGGGTGCAAATTGGGACACGTGGAGACCTATGACCTGTTGAAACCACACTGGCCCACCAAAAAGAGTCCTTAATTTCTTCCTCAAGAGTAATGGACAGAAATTTGCTGTATATCGATGAAACGAGGTGGAAAAACATCTTGTTTTCCAAACATCGGAATTCGCCATGTACTACCTCATAACCAAAGACCTCATTTGTGTTAGAAGAAATATTTGAAAAGCTTGTTAGGATGGTGGAAGAGAACCTCAAGTGACATGCTTGAGTAACAATAAATGGCTCCAAACTAGATTCCATGGCCGTGGGTCTCAAACATTAGCACATATCACAACCGCTGTGTTGAAACAGATTGCTGGGCCCACCCCAGAGTTTCCGACTCAGTATGTCTGGGGTGGGCCCCCAGTTTAGGCATTGCTAACACATTCCCAGAGGATGTTGATGCTGCTGGCCCGGGGACCTCACTCTGAGAACCACTGTGCTAGGGAGAAGGAACTCAGCTGACTAAGGACTTTGGTCTTGTGCTGAAGACTCTATGGAATTTATAGCCAGCAGTGAATTGTTCAGGAAAGTAAAGGGGTTTGTGACACTGGGGTGGGGAGTGTCAGAAAGGTGCAGACAGGATAAAGGAAACAGCTGTTGGTTGGAGAGGAATTAGAAAGACGAACAAAAGGACTTACGCCAATGATTTCAGTTTTGCTGAACCCATGATGAAAACCTCTTCTCTGGCACCTTGCATCACTCACTGAGGCCTTGTGGCTGGGTCTACTCTTTGTAGATAGGGTTATGGGTCTGGCCCCAAGGTGGATGAAGTGAGCACGGGTAACAGGTATAACTAAAAGAAGTCACTCAGGGTTCCTTCCCAGAACAAAGGATCCCTCTATCCCAAAGGTGAATGCTAGTCCCCACCATAAAGGGAAAAAGAAGAAAGAAACTAATGGTTACATTTTAAATGGCAGTTTTTCTAGCTTCAAAAAGGTGTGGAACAATTGGAACTCTCATACGCTGCTGGTGGGAATGTAAAATGGTATAATCATTTTGGAAAATCTGGCAGTGTCATAAAAAGTTAAGCCTATACTACCAGCCATTCCGCTCCTGAGTGTTTACCCAAGAGAAATGCAAACGTACACCCACACAAAGGCTTGAACACAGTGTTCATAACAGCTTATTTACATAGCCCCAAGTCGGAAATAACCCACTGTCTCTCCACAGGTGGATGGATAAACAGACAGTGGCCATCTATATAATGGAACACTGCTCATCAATAAAAAGGAACAAACTGTTGACATATACAGCCACAAGCAAGAAACCTCAAAATACTGAGGATAGGAGGCCAGATATTTTTTAAAAGAATATTTATTTTATGATTCCATCTATATAAAATTCTTGGAAATACAAATGCATCCATAGTGACAGCAAATCAGTGGTTCTGAGGATGCCGAGGGTAAGGGGGAGAGGATAGATTACAAAGGGGCACAAGGAAATCTGGGGGGATGGTGGATATTTTCGCTATTTTGATAGTGGTGATGTTTCACTGGCATATACATGTGTGAAAAGTTATGATATTGCATGTTTTAAATATGCCGTTTATTGTTTGTCAACTATACCCCAAGACAGTAATTTAAAAACCCTCTCAGATCCTCCAGTTATATGAGTGCAACTTGTCTTGGAAAGGCACTATACACATTTGCCTGAGGTAATCCAGTGCCCAGGTGGTCTCTGTCACATCTCCCAGGCAGAGTTGCCAGGTAAAATACAGGATGCTCCTGGACCGCAACCGCCCACCTCCATCGCTGACTGCGGGTGGGGGAGGCTGCAGGGGTGACCCCACAGGGAGCACGATCTCAACCAGAATGATGTTAAAGCGGGGAGCAAAACACCATGACAAGTCAAGAGACAAACCAGGGAAGAAAGTATCCCAGTAGATAAAAAAAAAGAAGAAGAAGAAGGTTAGAAAAGCTCAAGAAGAGAAGAATAAAGAACAGAGAAATTCTCTTCATAAATTTATAGAAGTAGATCTGGACTCTTCACCCATTTTTCCTACTATAACATAGGACAGGAATCTCAGAGGAAATGGACCTATCTTCAGATATTTCAAGACACAGTGATGAGCTCAAAGAAAAATCTCGTCCAGATTTTCAAAATGAAAACACAGAGTTTATAGAGAATAAAGATCTATAAATTCTTACCGTGATTGAGAGTATGTTGAAAATCAAAAGTTCATGAAGGATGATCCAGTTACGATGGCCCACTTAGGTAGTATGTTTGGAACGTTAATAATCCAACAAGGTCTTCCTGTCACGTCAGACCAAGAAGACAGTTTCCTGAAGATAAAATAGTGCATGCTTTTCCACTTTTTCACAAACTACTGCATTAAAGAGCTAACAAACAATGAAAAGCGAAAGAGAAGATGGATAGTGTGTTCAAGAAAAAGTGACAGTGATTCTGTTTTGCCTGTAAATTATTTTCTAATACAAAAACATTTCCTATTAGGGAAAAATAATTCTGATGGGGGATGCTTGAGAGAAAGATTGAAATCTCACGAACTGTCTCCTATTTGTCTCAATTCTGTGTATTTGTGGGTACGAATGGAACTAATTTAAAAATGGGAAACATAGTTGATATGATGAATGGAAAAGCAAGACAATTTGAAGTTGAAAAAACAATACAAGATGCCCAGTTAAATTTGAGTTTCAGTTAAGCAACAAATAATTTTTAAGTATAAATATGTCCCATAAACAATAATTACAATATTTGTTGATTATCTGAAATTCAAACTCAACTGGATGTCTTGTATTGGGGGAGGATTCCTAAACCTGGAAACTTTAATTTTAACGTATTTACTCATTTTTAAAAAATAGATTTTTTATGACAGCCAGGACAGGAGCAAAGATAAATGGCCCCAGGACTCCTTTTAACGGGCAGTTAGGAAGCTCTGCCATGTGGTGGGTGGCAGCCCCTGACCAAGCCTTTCCTCTCCCGTTACCCTAAACCGACACAGGGAGACTGCAACACTTAGGACCCCCAGTGCCTGCGTGGGCAGCCACGTTGGAGTTTGGAAGGAATCATTGCTTTCGCTTGAGGAGGTGGGAATGGCTCTACCAGTTTGCTTGTTGGTTGAGTGAAAATCAGCTCAAAGGTGGCCTACACTAAATGAAGTAGAAGTGCCAGAACTTCCTTAGTGTAGTAGAGAGGAAAGTGTCTAAGTGCTTAGAGAGATTGGCATGCTGGCAGATCTGCTGTGGCAGGTAAGACTCACTCACCCACCCAGGAAGGGCCTAGAGGACATACTTTTGCCACACTGTGAAGAATAAATGAGCTCCCGCATCCTTAAGGAACTCTGTGTGGCTCTTCTGTGTAGGTCAAGAACTGTAGTGAGAATTGCTACCATCAAACTGGGATTCCTAAATACACCGGGGTGGTGGGACCCTGAAGACGCAGGAACCGTGTGGTGACACTGAATTGCCAGAGATAAGGTATGTGTGGCTATTATGATGGACAGTGGAGCCAAGGCAGTGATCAGAGCAGTCTGACCCCCAGCAATCTTTGGCATTGGCTATTGATCACCCTAGAATTGAAATACAGGGATGGTCTACTAAAATTCTTACTCGATCTGTATAAGCAGAAGAGTTCTATCTCTAGTGAACAGAAGTCTAACTTCAATCACCAGAACTGAGTCATGGCCCTTCCATCAATTCCC